TATTATTATTATTATTAACAGCCTTACTTATCTATCCTTTCTAGCATTGTCTACTCACCAAAAACTAATTAAATTATAGAGATATTACACATACAACTTTCATTATATTATATTATATTTTTTAAAATAATTTTTATTTTTAATTTTAAATTAATTACAATTTTTATTTTTTAAAATAAATAAACGTATTTAATTTAATTATATCATCATCTATTTACTTTAATTAATTATTTGATCATAACATTTTTGTTGCCTTTTATTTTTTTAGGGTATTATAACAAAATACAAATATGACCTCTAAATTCTTAATTTAAAGAAATTTTATAAAATGACTCTTATTTTAGAATAAATAGAGTATAATTTAATGTAATATTTAGTTATTTAATGTACACAATATTATACTTAAATTTCTAAATAAAAAAAATCTAACTATATATTGTATTAATGACCACTTTATATTGGGAATAAAATTGTGTACGTAAAGTTATGCGTGTAACTTAATAGTATTTTTTTAATTCATTTTTAATAATTTTAGTTTAATTTTTAAATTTTTTAATTATAAATTTAAAATAAAAAATTAATATTTTATATAAATAATAATTAAATTTTCTTTGTATATAAAGTTTCTATCAAATATTTTAATTAAATAAAAATTTTAATTATTATTTATATAATATGTTAAATTTTTATATAAAATTTTTATTTAAAAAAAAATAACAACTATTAAAAATAAATGAATAAAAGTATTAAATTGTTATTGATTATCAGTTACGTCCACGCGACACGTCAAGGCAACTAGCCTAGTAGCGTGAGTATAATTTTAGGCAAAACCTAATATTAAGTCCTCAAGTTTATCTTAAATTTTTAATTAAGTTCTTAAGTTTTTATTAAAGCAAACAAACCCTTAAATCTAGTGTTTTGAGCAATTTAACCCATCTTCTTTACAACAAATTTTAACACTTGTTTATACATCACTTGTATAGATAAAATATTGATATATCATTGCCTATATAACAAGTATGACTTTATCTATATAAATAATATATAAACTGACATTAAGTATGTTGTAAGGAAGAGAATTAAATTGCTTAAATCAATAAGTTTAAGAATTTATTTATTTTAATAAAAGTTTAATAGTTTAATTAAGAATTTAAAACAAGTTGAAGGACTTAGCATAGGGTTTTGACACATTTTTCTTGTAATGTGTATACGTTGAAAATTTTTAGCTGTCCATTTCTACACGTCTATGCGTCATTTTACATGTTTGTATTTGATTTTTGCAGTTTATATGACATATTCACCTATGAATGCTTCCTCTTAGTTTTAAAAGTAAAAGCAAATTGGTTTTTTTGAAACAAATAAGTGACTAATTAAACTTAAATCTTTCTATCAACTAATTAAAATTTTCATTAACCAAATTACATTCTAAAATAATGATAAAAATTAAAAAATAAAATCTCGAAATAATTCAAAAACTCTAAGGGAGAAAATCTTTAAGTTTGAATTTAATTAAGAACCTCTATTCTCATTTTAAAAAAAAGGGGGAGTTTCAATTCTTAATTCGTTCAATATACAAGAAATTTTTTTAAAAATTATAATATTATCATTTTTTATAAAACATTTAATTAATTCTTAATATTTTCTCCATATTTGAAATAGTAGTTATAATAAAATTCTTTAAAATTGCATTAGTGTTTATTTGTTAAGTATGAAAAATTATAAATATTATAAAGAATTAAATGATATCTTAACTTAAAATTTTACATGATAAATATAACAAAAGAGGATAATACAATCTAAACTCTATTAAACTACACTACACTAATTAATTAGAGAAGAAGTGATTCCCTAATATTGGAGGTTCTCCTCCCTATCTAATAAATTCTGTTTTACATCTGATACAATACAGACGGTAAAAAAATAGTTCCATAAATATAATATTCAAAAAATTTAAGGGATAAAAAAAATAATATATACTAAATTTGCAGACTTGCAAAAGTTGAGGGGCGGTTGCACCTCCTTCCGTTCCCTGGACCATTATACCCCCCGGCCAAGAAAAAAAAAAAAACCCAACAGCGAAAGCTATTAAACAATTGGTCCAACCCATGGGAACATTTTCTTAGGGGAATATTATATATTATATGTTCTCTATGGAAGTTTCATTTCCTGGTGTTACCATAAAGTAGTAAGCAGGGTCTTACTGGTGGTAGGAATTATGGAGACGGCGAAGAAGTTATCAGGGCTGAGCCACCTGTTTGTGACGGTGTTCCTGTCAGGGTTTGCCAACTTCATGGTGGTTCCGGCCATTACTGATGTCACCATGGCTGCAGTCTGTCCCGGAAAAGATGAATGCTCTCTTGCCATTTACCTCAGTGGATTCCAGCAAGCGGTATGCTCAGTTCAATCAATTTCAATTTCAGTTTCCCTTTTATCTTCCTTTTTCTCTGCAAACTGCATGTTAAATTTACTCTTTCTTCTCATAAAGGATTATTATTTATTAAAAAAAAAAAAAAAAAAAAAAAAAAA